AACAGACTTCTTTGTTCAACATCCGGTACAAGTGTCTGACAATAACCAAAAAAGAAGACGAAGACTGGGTCGACTATTCCAGCCGGGTGAATTGAGAGTGCGAACGATCACAACTACACAAGATGACAAGTGATCAGTTTAAATGCCTCATATACGTCTGTGGCCTACAAGCATCCAAAGACGCCGACATTCGAACACGAGTACTGAACAAAATTGCGCAGAATCCGGATGTCACGTTGCAGCAAGTGACCGGTGAGTGCCAACGCATGACGAATCTGAAACACGATACTGCAATGATCCAGCAGTTGTCCAAGCAGAGCGAGCAAGATTTTGTCTGTGCAGTCAGCCGTACTCCCCGAAAAGAAGCTTCCCACGTGAGTTCAACGCATTCTAAACCTCCCACTGCATGCTGGTTTTTTAGAGTGTGGCATTTTGCCCGCGAGTGTCCATTCAAAACTCACACTTGCAACCGTTGCGGCAGAAAAGGGCATAAGGAGTCGTGTTGCCTGGCGACTCATCCAATTCTGACCAAGAAGATGCGTAACAATGCCAAACCGTTCCGGCGTCCCAATTTGACCAGATCTATCACCGCAACATTCAAGGTTGACGGGGCCAGCAAGCGCAAATACACAATTGTGAAAATCAACGGCTTCCAAGTCAAGTTACAAATTGACACGGCTTCTGATATCACCCTGATATCTCGGGACACTTGGTGCATGCTGGGGCGACCAACACTCATACAAACGGACCACACGGCACGGAATGCTTCAGGAGGTACGTTGAAATTGCTGGGTGAACTGAATTGTCAGGTAAACTTTCGCGATAAACAAATCCAGACGACATGTTTCGTGACAGACCAGCCGGGGTTAGATTTGTTGGGGCTCGACTGGATGGATGAACTGAAACTGCTTGATCAATCAGTGAACAGTATATGTCAGCCACCGCAAGTCAATCTGCTGTCACAACCGTCACCTTCAAGCCCGATGTTTCAAAGTCAGATTGCCGAGATAAAACGACGTCACGATGCATTGTTTCAACCTGGTCTCGGATGCTGCAACATAGCTACTGCCTCATTGAACCTTAAACCAGACGCCAAGCCAGTCTTTAGACCGAAACGCCCGGTTCCCTACGCAACCCAGTCTTTAGTGGAAGCCGAGTTAAATCGACTACAATCTGAAGGGATAATCGAACGAGTTCACTATTCCGAATGGGCAGCACCTATCGTGGAGGTAAAAAAAGGAAACGGTAAAGTCCGTATTTGTGCTGATTTCTCGACAGGTTTGAATTCTGTGTTGGAAGATCATCAGTATCCCCTGCCGGTACCAGAAGACTTGTTCAGCAAACTCAATGGTGGGAAATGTTTCGCAAAACTTGGCCTAGCTGATGCGTATTTGCAAATCCCAGTTGCCCATCAGTGCAGAACATTGCTGACAGTAAATACCCACCTCGGACTTTTTCAGTACAACCGGCTGCCGTTTGGAGTGAAAACCGCACCGGCCATTTTTCAACAAATAATGGATACCCTGCTGAGCGATATCCCAAATACAGCAGTATACCTGGACGACGAGCTGATTATGGGCTCAGATCCGCAAGACTTGATACAGACACTGGAGAGAGTGCTTTCGCGTCTTCAGGAAGCTGGATTCCGATTGGGGGCTGAAAAATGTGAGTTCCTATTAGAAAGTGTCAAATTTCTTGGGTTCATCATCGACAAACATGGCCGGCGCCCGGATCCCGCCAATATTGAAGCCATCAAAAAGATGAAGCCACCAGAAGACATTGCAGAGCTCCGCTCTTTTCTTGGGCTCGTTAGCCATTACAGTGCTTTCCTACCAAGCCTTCACCAAACCAGAGGACCGCTGAACCAGCTACTGATAAAAGACAAGGATTGGAAATGGACGAAGGAGTGCCAGCAGTCTTTTGATGCAGTCAAAGAAGCTCTCATTTCCGATCTACTCTTGACTCACTTCAATCCGAATTTCAAAATTGTCGTTGCTACGGATGCTTCAAATTATGGTGTCGGTGCAGTTATTTCCCACGTTTTTCCGCATGGAGGAGAGAAGGCTATCGCGCACGCAGCACGGTCACTAACGCCAGCTGAAAAGAACTATAGCCAGATAGAGAAGGAAGCGCTCGCGATTGTTTTCGCAATGAAACGGTTCCATAAGATGCTGTATGGCAGACATTTCACGCTCCTGACTGACCACAAGCCTCTTCTGTCGATATTCGGTTCAAAGAAAGGAATTCCAGTTTTTACGGCAAACCGATTGCAACGATGGGCGACCATACTACTGGCCTACGACTTCAGTATACAGTATAAACCGACGCAACTAATCGGTCAAGCGGATGCCCTGTCTCGTCTCATCAGTTCACACCCAAAGGAGAATGATGATTGTGTGATTGCAGCTATCAGTTTCGAAGCAGAAGTCCAACGAATCCTGGCTGATAATGTGAGAAGACTACCAGTAACAACCGACACTATTCGTATGGAGACATCACGGGACAGAATCTTGAAGAAAGCGATGTACTGTGTACGAACATGTTGGCCAAATGGAGGCATACCTATGGAGTTGCGGCCGTTTTACCATCGACGTGCATCCCTGTCAGCCGTGGACAATTGTCTGATGTTTGGAGATCGAGTGGTGGTGGCAAGGAAATTGCAGAGGCAAATATTGCAGCAGTTCCACACGGGGCACCCTGGTACCAGCCGCATGAAAGCCTTGGCACGCAGCTTTGTTTACTGGCCAGAAATGGATTCGGAAATTGAAAAATTCTGCCAACAGTATGAATCTTGTCAACTTGCAGTGAAGACTCCTCCCAAGTGTCAGTGGCAACCTTGGCCTAAGGCAGAGAAACCGTGGCAACGAATACACGTAGACTATGCAGGACCGATCAATGGCCAATCCTATCTCGTTTTGGTTGACTCATTCACCAAGTGGCCTGATGTGATTCCGGTAAACAATCCGACTGCACAGCACACCATCAACGAGCTGGAGAAGCTGTTCCGATACTTCGGCCTGCCAGAAGTGTTAGTGACAGACAATGGAACACAATTTACCTCGACTTCTTTTCGCGAGTGGTGCAAAGAAAAGGGAATTCATCAGAAGTTCTCACCACCATATCATCCTCAATCAAACGGACAGGCGGAAAGGTTTGTGGACACGTTCAAACGTGCACTCTGTAAAGCAGGGCAAAAAAGGGATTCACAGGATGCAATTCAAGCTTTTCTATGCATGTATCGGAACGCTCCGAATCCAAACTCCCCTGATGGGAAAGCCCCTACAGAAGTACTATTTGGAAGAAAGATCCGGACGTTGTTTGATAATCTTTTACCAAGAAGAATAGAAAAGCACGGCAGCAGTCACCGGGAGGAAGATTGCAAGATCAAGCTCCGTAACATCAATGTTGGTGACATGGTCTACGCCCGGGATTTTCGAAGGCCGAAGGGGTGGTCTAGTGGAACGGTTATCGGAAGGAAAGGCAGAGTTATCTACGAGGTGATGGTTGGACGTGAGAGATGGATTAGGCACATCAATCAGCTGAGACCGAATCATGGCAAAACCCAAGGTCCTCAGGAACCACCAGCTTTACCTTGGGACATCCTACTAGACACTTTCGGGTTGGAAGCTGAATGTCAGCAACCAGGTGAGACGAAACAAATGCCGCAGAAATCAGATGCACCATGCAGGCCGGCGCGGAAGCGGAGAAGGCCACAACGGCTGCAAATCAATCCCCGGGCGAAAAGCTACGAACACACTCAGGTTCGAAGGGTGTGCAGGCTGACTCAATTCGGAAGGGGAGGTGACAGTTGGACGAGAAAGCTGAGAGCCGACGCTCGCGCGTTTACCACCAAGCGTGCTTGGGAAGGACTCTACGAGCATGTTACCAGGGCCCAGCCGAAACCTGATCAGACACCAGGCGTGTTGCCAAGGCCAGACCGGAAGCTGATGAAATCACGCGTCAGACATCACGTGCGTTGCCATGCGCCGGGTAGGCGAACGAAGACTGTAGTACCCGAGCAACACGGTGAGTCGGACAGATGCAGCGGACAAGTAGGTGTGCAGCGTGGGCTTAGAGCCAAATCCGCCTGGTGATAGTGACATATAAATATGACCGTTCTTTGCCTTAATACAACTCTGGTCTGCTGAGTAGTCTTCTGTCTTCGTTCCGGTCGGGTTTGCCAAGGCGTAAATCAGAGCACGCGTGAAGGCGCAGATTTAGCAACAGGCGTGAATCAACCAGGCGAGAGCGAGCAGGCCGCGCAGCGTTACAACAGTGTTCAACAGCAAAACCTCTTTAGCTACACCTGGGAAGACCTGTGTTTGTTAGGTCGCGTTTGCCCGCCTTCTGCGGTATATATTGTCTGCCTTTACTGTGTCTGTTAGTTCGAAGTCAGTGACGGATAGGTGGAAAATAGCCAATTCGTTCATTTGATTTTTGACAGTGGTGCCACGGGATCGGCCGTATCCACGAGTCTGGAGCTGTTAATCCGCCTCGAATTCGATGGCACCCTGGCATCTAACTGTCAACCTTTTATTCTTTCTTGAACCAGTATAATTTTTATATTTCCCATTTCATTTCCTACCATATTCCTGCTTTTTATTAGTGGTCCTCATCATGGATCTAAGTCATGGTATCCTGGAATACACTATATTCCAAGGATTTCTTCCTTCCTGTTCGAGTAAATGGAGTTGAATTACCTAGGTTGTGCATCTCAAGTGAAGGTGAAGGGCTCCTCGCATCACTTGTTCATCAACCTCGCCACACTCCCAATCACCGGAATTCTCCCATCTAAGTTTGTTAGACCTCACCTTCGAAAGGCGTCGCTGGTCCAGTCACCATAATGGTCCGACAACTTTGGCATCCTCGTGTCTTACGGTGATTCCGAACCTGTACGCGTTGCTTCATTTGTTCTCTAGCACTATCCTCGGCTAGTACGAGACAACCACATGTATTCTGTGCATATTCCATTGACCTTTCTATCCCCATTCCTGTTTCAGCACTGAGGAACATCCTCCGCCGCCTGGCTAACGTAAACAGATCATCCGATAATCAGGAACCACCTGTCGATTCTTCGAACCCATAGTTCAACTTCATTCATGTGCTTTCAGATATTTCTCATTGTCGAACAAGGTGCCCAGAGAGAGACAAGCCTTCTTTTACCCCCTTTTCATTTTTGCTTTTACGCACATTCGCTCGTCGATTCTTGTTTGAATCAATTATTCTCCACAGTGTTGGCGACGCAGTCACTGCTAACCACAACTAAGATTTACAATTGTGTATATTGTTGCGAACAAAGTAAACCCATTTCCTCACCCTCACCTGCCTTTTGGTGTACTTGCGGTCTTTCTCCTTGACCTCAACACCTATCTACCACGCTTAATGTGCTTCGCACATATCCGACGCGTTATTTAGGCGTTGTTTCGTTGTGTTTCCTTGACGCTGGTCTACATTTCATACTTTGCGAGCAATGGTCCTAACAGCTCTATTTCTGTTCACTAAAATTTGTGGTGGATGGTTGGAGGATTCAAGGGGATAGTTGAGAATGGACGTGACGGAAATAAGCTTCATTTGGGCTACATCTTTTGAGGTAATGCACTCAACACTGGGTTTAATTTCTTCCATAAGTTGAAGAGCAGAGGACATCTACTCAGCAGGCACTGGTCGCATCAATGCAATATTTTACCAAAATCACTGGACTGTGAGACTGGTTAGGGTTAATATCAGACCAAAAATCAGCAAAACCTGGAATCTGCTCTTCCTCCAACATGTAGATAGTTTGTCATCTCATTCTGTGGCGGCAGTATTGCGTCTACGAGAGTTGTGTAAGCGAAAGCTATAACCGAATCACATAAAAAATACATCAGCAATACGCATTACCGATCCTTACCTGCCACGCAACCACCACCGGTCGCACTGCGAGGCTCGCCCTATCTATACGCAGGCTCGAACTTGCGTGTCAGATCACGAGATAAGCTGGTTACCATTAGGCTACGGGCGGCACCGATTTGCAGTTGACATTGTAGGTTATTCATTACAGCTTTTGGAGCGGGACTACCCTTTGTAGGTCTCCAAGTATGAGGAATAAGGAAGGTTCAAATCGAGTCTAGCACGTTTCGTGAAGCTAACTCTACTCTTTCTTCGGAACAGCACTCCACGGTGAAGCACTTGCGTCTCATGAAGTCGGGAACAATGGTCGTACATTGTTCTCACCTGTAAGTGACGTCTGAAGATTGCGTAATAACCTGTTGTAACTGCGGCAGGAGTGTCGTCAGCGGTCGGTAACATAATCTCGTGCGATATAACCGTGGTATCATCGCGGTTCGGACATGGAGTCCAAGTGGAAAAGTCGATATTTAGTCTTTGAGTTTGAAATCCCTAACTTTGGCAAAATACCAAACTGTTCGTGAAAGCAGTGGAATTTGGACTGACAGTTGATAGGTCAGCTGGAGAATTGATACTCCCGTCCATCCATACGAATGAAGCTGGAAAGCGTGGGTATTGATAGTGTCGATGAAGGACTTATCTGCTGCCTCCACCAACGGTCTACAGAAGCAATGTCGGAAATGGTGGATGTTGTGGAGTATCGCTTAGTGGCGATCGCGTAGCTAGATGCTTGATGGTCAAACCACTCCAGTTCATAGATTTGAAACTTCTTCCCAGGTTGTCAATCTATCGCGTAGGAGGAAATCAATGGAGTACATACAAAAGGTCTTGTAAATTAGGAACGTTATGTACCGCATCTTCCAGTGTGAATTATTGTTGTTGCCATTGTGGTAGACTGGTTGTAGATTCAGTCTTTAGTTGGGCGGAATCAGTAGAGCGACGATACATAGTAGTACTTCGCTCGAAGAGAAAAGCCTCCGAAACGTTTAACATCAAATTGTTTTATCGTTTAATCTGGGCACTGTGGCGTTGTGCTGCCAGTCACGTTTTCAACCCCGGACATTCCCAAGCGTGTGTGGTCATAATGTACAGAAGTGCATCAGAGGCTGCGGACAGGTTTGTTGGGAGAGCAACAGATGTTGACGTTGGACGTGGACCGAGTGCAATGGTATCTGGAAACTCAGGATCGTATAATGACTCTGCGGCTGTGACAAGTAAGAGTGCTGGATGGTTTGGTGAGGCATGTGGTGGCATCAACTACAGTACCATTAACTCTGTACTTTACTCTGATACCTCGCTGAAATAGTTGCAACTGAATACGGAACGCCGGACTCTAGCTGCCTGACCAGTATGGAATTTCTGCGCCCCATATGAACTTAGAGAAGCAGCCTTTTTGCATTATCCTGTGAAACCACGGCAGTAGTTTGTATAAGGAGTCGAAGCGTTAGGAAATGCTATATATTTCGAATGCAAATCAACAAAATGCATGTTCCCTACCGTTGTGATAGCCCTCCGCGAATGGAAGACTGAGTCTGTTCCTTGACCAAAATCTATTATTCAGAGTGCAACTAGATTGTTTTATATCTCGCATGAATTAAATAACACACAAATGTAGCACATTTCTCCTTGCTATCGCTTTCCTTGCCGGACCTCGTACTCTGTTGTTAGTCAAAATCACTCATACTATCCATCCAGAGTGTGTGATTGCCGTCATGTTGCATTGGCAGTCTTTACGCTGTTTGCTGCTTTACCTTCGCTTAGTTCTCTCGTCTGATCCGCGACATTTTACTACTACAACACGTACCAGTAATTGAGTTTGGTTCTTTCTGCACTTCACGTGAATATACAGTACAGTCTCCGTAAGTTGACCACTTAAAGAATCGCGCCAAAGTGGTCAACATACAAAGGTCTGGATCCATAAGATTTACATGGTGAACACTCAAGCAATGAAAAAAACCAGTCAATTTAGTGAGATGGTCAATTTCAGAGGTTTCGATTTGGATTAAATGGGGGACTTGGCCTGAACAGAGTTTGACTGCATACGATTGTAATCAGCCGTGTTCTAGAACCTGATTCGGATAGGTTACCGGTAGTCCTAAGGGCCTTACAATAGCGTTGACCCTGGACGAATGATGAATGTCATTCGTAAACAAACATTCCGGGCCAATGCGCCCCTACCTTGTCAACAATTCACGGTCACAAACAGCTGACTGTGTGTGAGGTTTTGGCGTGGTTTGTGGCGTTGGCGCGCGGTTCCGTAACCTGGGACGAGAACAACGGAAACCGTTCCGTTTGAGGACATTGTCACAATAGCCATAGAATCACTGTCCCATCAAATCATGCCAGTTGAGAATGGAGAACAGGCAGTAACCTGTGTCTCGACCTGATCATAGGCTCCTACACCCAGATGGTGCAAGGGGTTAAAGAAGTTGGATTTTCAGTCCAAATTAGACGCAGACGTTACGATAGTGGGCTTGGGTCCGTAAACCGGTTAGTTTGTGGGGCCTGTCACTGAGGAGCTCGAGGGAGGATTAGTTGCACTTGTAAATGCTGCATCCTTTTCTTTGGAGCTAGTGATGTACATATCGGGAAGTGATGGCCCATATGTAATAAATCCTCAAGTAGCGGTATTGTACGACTCAGCTCCTTCGCTATTTGGGGCAGATACCGACCCATGAGGATGGGTATATTGATGATCGGTGACAGGATAGGTGGTGATTGAATCGCCCCTTATCTGTGAGCGCACAGGTGTCAAATGTAATGGCCAACATGTCGTTTAGAGCCTGATGCAGTGATGAATCCGGTTTGACATTTATAGCGTATAGGATTATTTCGTATGAGTCTGATGACGAAGAATCATGTGAGGCTAAAACCTCGGACATGGTTTATCTAACAAATCAGTGGTGTTGGGTAAATAACTGATAACAATTTAAATAAGCATTCCTAGATTATGCTGATTAACAAAAAAGTTTTTCTTGATGCTGAAGATATTTCAACCAGTTTGTAGTGTTTTGGTGGTGCTGCTTTCAAAATGAAGTTGGTTTTGTACAAGTTGGCTCTCACTTTTGTAGCACAAGATGTGCCACGAATTTATGCTAACCTGTAATATTAATAAGTAATTTTTCCGAGTTTCACTCGACTCAGCTGTTTGAACAATTCCCATGTTACATTTGTGAAGAGCACACTATGGGGAAATAAGGGCAAATGGCGCTCTTTGTGTATTGAGCATACTGCGCTCGCTTCGGTGTAAAACTCGGGGATCAGAAGAAACCTGGGGCACCTCTTAGGCTCTGCGAAATCTGTATCGTGTGGACAACTCGTACAAAGAAGGGTTTGAGCTTTGGTGTGTCTGTGGTGTTGTGAGAACCGACAAGCCATTACCATGACTGTTATTTTTGTACTGTCAATATGAAAGACTTCAATGGATACACGAACTTAGTAGAAGAATATCCTGACCTGGCATCAGATAGACGACCTGTGTGCCACAATGCAGAAGTTCCCATGCCAGTGTTTGCTTTATTGTCTGAGCTTTCATTTTTGCTACAAAAGAATTGCATACTGGGGATGCTTGCTGTAGCACAAGTGCTAGTGGTACTAGTGAATTTGAAGAAGTTCCTCAAGACCTCGGTAACTCTTCACAAGAACTAAACAATCTCATACAGGACCTCAGTTTGTCAAAACAAGCATTGGAACAGTTAGCATCAAGGCTCGGATAAATGAAGTGGTTGAAGTCGGAAACTAAAATTACAACTTATCGCACAAGAGCGGAGGATGCTTTGCCGTTCTTCACTGATTATGAAGACATTGTCTACTGCAATAACATTGTTGGATTTTTCTTGGTAATTGGACTTCCGACATATTAACCGAGAGATTGGCGAACTTTTATAGACAGCAGCAGCAGAAGATGAATTGTGTCTTGTTGCACAACCGCAGCCACTGTATCTGTGCCGTTGCTCACACAACTGAAGTTATAAAGCATAATCACAAAGGTTTTGGTGAAATTTCGCCATAACGATCGCAACTAGGTTATTTACATGGATTTACATATGGTGCACCTGTTGATTGTACAGAAATGTGAATACACAAAGTATCCTTGCTTCATGTACTTATGAGACAGTGGGGGCTCCCAGGCGCAGCGATTATCATCAGTAAGCCTTTGGTTAACAGAACAAACAGTATTTTCCCGCCACCTCATATAATACTATGACTGATGAAACAATTTGTTGAGGCGCTGGACAAAGATGGTGCTGGTTTCAAACCCATGAGTAGATCACTCCTTGAACTGAAAAGGGGGAAACTGAAATTTTGTACCTTCTACTGCCCCCAAACTCCACACTTATTAGCGATCGCGAATTTCTACATCTGAACAGTTTTGGAGCATCTGCTTAGTGTTTTTTTTTCTCCGTTGTTTAGAACTTCCTGAGTAACCATAAA